GTTGTAAAATACAAATATACTTATAAACGTTGCTTAATATAGTGTACTGCAATTTTTTTTTAAATTAAACTTTTTTCATTTATTTCAACAATGAAAAATATCACAACACTAATATAAAGTAATACTCAAATTTGGTTTGCGATAAGTAAAAGTTTGTAACATTGTTTTTATCCTAAACTTAATTTATTGCAGTTTTATGGGGTGTTGGAGTTGAGTATGTTTTCCATGGAGCATTGTTTGGAATATATTATTTGTAAGTATTGCTACTAATGTATGCCATGTTTTAGAACTTTGTGCTCTATGTTATTTGAGAAAACTAATACATTTCAGTTTCTGTTTAGTTATATTGTTTTGTAAGTTTATCTACCAATTAAAAATGTATATTTTTTTTATTTTTAGAATCATTGCTATTGTTGTCTCATTTCTTGAAGTTGTTTTTCTATTAAACCATGTTGTGGAGCTATGTGTCAGGTGAGAGTCTCACAATAAAGTTAAAATTAGCCATCGAAGGCCTCTAGTCAATAGTAAATATATAGAACTCAACTCATATAGGGGTAATAAGGTTTCATGTTAGAGTGAACATATTATTATTATCATAATTATTTATATTTGATTGATTTCATATGTTGTGATTGGTTGTTTTCCTTTTGAAAAGACATACTCATACTTAATAATTAAAAAAAATAGATTCCCTAAATATCATCAACTTTAAAATAGCTACACATCTTAAGACTGACCATGTAGCAAAAATTTCCAGAAGTTTGGAAATCTATTGCTAAATATTTTTTAACACATTTAAAAAAAATAAAAATTTTTTGACTATTTTGGTCTTTTTTTTTTCTTCATAGACAAACCAGCCTGTTTATGAGAATCTGGGACATTGTTTTGTGTTTAGATGACTGGAAGAAAGGGGGTCTCTATTTTGTGGTGTTTTCACCACCTTGTTTTGTAAAACCAGCAGAAGTTGAGTTAGGCATTCCTGCAGGTATTTTCATCCAGCCTTTTTTTTCTAGTCAAATGTTTATTTATTAAACATTATTCAATTGATTTTTTTTTTTACCTGGAATTAAATATTTCTATACATGGATCTGAAAAATTGAAGTTTGTAATGCATGTGCAAAATGAGTCTTTGCTTGGAGGGACATAATACAAAAAAATTTAAATAATCATTAAATGAAACATTAAAGTTTGTTAAAAGCATATATACCAACTCCAATTAAGGCAGAGACCTCTGACATGTGCACAGGAAATAATTTAGTCAATTTTTTAGCCTATTATCTAGCAGCAAATAAAGGCCAATGTTGGAGCTAAAGTATCCTCTTAGCACACTGATATTAAAACCACTCTTTTTAGTCAGCACCAACATCCCACAGCAACCCTAGAGTTAAGACCTTATCTTGAATCAACAAAAGCCCAATCCTTAATTGGCACCTTGTTTCTCAGCTTCTTCAACCAAGTCCAATATCTTCCAAAGAATTTTTTTTTTCCTTAGCTATCTAACAACTTTTTTTTTACTTTTCCTTTTCAGGCTGTTTGTTAATAGTTACAGGCATCCTGTATATGTTGAAAACTTTAAAAACCAAACGTGATGAGGAAAAAGAAGATAGAATGCTACCAAACACTCCTTATGACAGGTAGTCAGCTTCAATACAAGCTTACTTTTATAAAATATTTTTAAAAAAGGCTATATATCGTCCTTGACATTCTGTTAACAACTGCATATTACAACAAAGTAATATGGGCTTTGATAACCTGATTATCAGATGCTTTTCTTTAAGATAAATTTTATAGGTTTGAATCATGGTAGAGATGGGGATTTTCTCTCCATGTTTTTGAGGATATTTCTGAGTTCACAACCATAGCTTGATTGGTTAACTGACATCTGTTTGGTCATTGTGTTGGTCACGAAAAAAACTATTGGCTAATGAAATGGCTAAACTTTTATCTTCTCCATAGAAGTTAAAGTCTTGATTTGTTCACTTCAATGTATTTGTTTGTACATATTGTCTTCCTACTATTGAACTGAAAGTTTCTCAGAGCTGAATGGTGAAGCAGTATGTAGAAATAAATATTAAAACATTGTCTTCAAGAGATGCTGCTGCATTATGATAGTCTAATCCTAGTTTAACATTCTACAGGTTTGAGGATGATCAGGAATACATTGAAGATGACATCATCAACCCTACCAACAATCTTAGTGTGGGCATGACTAGTGTGGCTGATCAGTCAGAGATATTGGACTTGTAGCAATACAAGTGTGTATTTAGAGACATGGCTAAAGTGGTTCTGTTTCAGCTAAGTGCATTGGAGATTGTATTGCTAAAAGTGCCTACAGTATTGTCATTTTTTCTTGAATTCTTAAAAACAAATTCCTAAGATATCTCTTTTATTGTGTGTTTGTAAATTTTATATCAAATCATATATGCATTTTTTTGTGTAATAGTTACTATATTAGTTTTTTAATATTTGAATAAATGTCTTTTTGTGATCTTAATGAAGCAGCACTAGTTCTTACATTTATGATTGATGGTATTGAAATTACTGTAGGGTATACTCTATAAAATTGATTTTAATTATTTAGTCATGCAAGATCTATTTTAGTAATTGTTTCTAATATAAACTTTTATAATAATATATGTACTATAGTTAATTTAAAACTACTATATAAATAATACTAATTGCCATATCTATAATTATAGCCTATGCATTGTTTTTGTTAAGCATTTTACACTGAAACTTATGTTGATGCATATTTAAAAATGTTATTGCTAATTCATTCTGTTAAATTATTTTATACGTATCTACTGTATTGGGAATCTCAGAGAATTTTTTTTTTTTTTTTGCTAATATTGTGAAAACAAATGATATTCTTGTCTTCCTTTATTATTTCTTCATAATTTTCCAACCTAATAGATTCTTTAAAAAATTTACTGAAACATTTTCTTTCCATATGTTAAGGTGATCAAATAATTTTTTTTTTTTTTTATAATGTAATATTTTAATAAATGTAAAAAAAAAATTAATTAAATAAACTGAAACAGTATATTTTTTTCTTCAGGCCATTATTCAGTTGTTCTACATGGGAAGTGTTCGGGCTGAAGTCCTAAATTCATTATTTCTGCTACAATTTTAAATGCTACCATGAATTGTGTTAATGTCGTACTTGGCAGTTCAAATTTAGATACATCTCTTTCATTTTTGCTATAAGTTAACAAATAGTGCTTTCAACAGTATTTCACATGATAACAAATGCAATCATCATGCTTATAAGAAAGATTATTCTGTTATCATTGAAATGAAATTTTGATCATCCTATGAGCATAAATATATCTATGTTCATGGTTTTATTTATTAATTTTTTTAAAATTTAGACTAAAAAGACAATGTCTTCTCTTTTTAAGGTGAAGGAAGAGTGCAGAATTTTACTTGGTTATTGTAGATGGTAGATAGTACATGGTTCATTCTATTTCCAATAGAAGCATGATACATTGTAAGAGACAGGAAGAAGATTCTGTTAACCTTACATGTTAAGATCTAAGATAGAGAAACACTTTTACACAGTTTTTACTGTCCAACTTTGGTAGTTTGATTAAAATAATTAGCAGCAAAGCTGGTAGTTTGATGAAAATAATTAACAGCAGAGCATTGTGGACAAAATAGTTGAACTAATGTAAGATATTTTAAGGCTTTTTATTTTCAGCTCTACAAACTTAACATTGTTAATTTTACATGTTGTGTATAGAATAAACATAGATACTGTTTGTGGTCCCACATTAATAATGATTTCATAATCTATAACATACTTTGTTGAGATTGACATTACAATATATATATAGATGTAATTTATAAGACTCTTTGGCTACATTCACCTGAATGTTAGGATTATTTTCTTCCCAAGCTCATTTTTTTTTTTGCATTTGTATTTAAAAAACCAAAAGCAGCATAATCTCAATTTTTCTTCTCTAACTGAAACCTTTTACCAATATTAATATACAAAGGTCAATTGTGTTTTATTTTAAAATTTCAGGGTGGCTCACAGAAAAGTTTGTCCACCCGGCTCAGAATTGGAGGAAGTTGGGAAATCCCTTTTTTCCACCAATATTATCCCATGAAGAATGGGGTTGTGGCCAAATGGATGTTTGGCAGACAAGATCAACAGTAATTGGTATCCTCCAAGTCCAAGGCATGTACTGGATATAAAGGGCTGGCTACTTTTTCATTGGACACCTGTATTATGTTTATTCTTAGTTTAGTAACCAGCAGTTAATAAATAGTTAATTTAATGAGACACACAAATTGGACATTAGTTTTCATCCAATGGTGCAACATGGGTTCACATTTGTATTCCAAATAGCTCTGTCCATCAAAGACATTGTAGTGATAGTAAATAGTCCTGGCCTCTGTATAGTCACACCTTATTACTGAGCTCCTCACAAAGACTGCCTGACATTATTATCTATGAACTTATTTTACGTTACTATCTTCTTTTTGTACTGTTGAAATGTTTCTGAATTATAAGAATCTGACTCTTCTGATATTACAATAAAACCATATCTCCAAGCATAAAGCTTGCCATAAGTGCTAATAATTGTTTTTCTCTAGAACTATTTAGTTTCTATGCAATAATAATACAGTACCATAATCTGAGCTCAGTGTAGTGTTTGTATGGCTACTATTGTAGTTTTCAAATGAGCTTTCAATATTTGTCATCTATGAGATAAGCCTATATTTGTTGCTTATTGTTTTATGTTTAATATAAATCATCTTCCTGAACCATTAGCTTATTCTATAATGTTTCAAATATATTTTTTCTACAGATACTTTTGTGTAAGTTTCTAGTTTTTAATGAATTCCACTATCTTTTCATTTGTTAATGTAATGCGGTCTGATAATAATTCATACAAATAATCTGAATTTTTCAGTCATTATTGTTCTTTTTAGCACTTGTAGTAGTGTTGTTGTTTTTTTAAGCATTATAATGTAATCTTTTTTTAAAATATATATATATATATATATATATATTTATGTATGGTGCAATGCAGTCATTCAATACAAAATTCACTATGGGACATGTTAGGGGTGATATTAAATATTATGTATCATAAAATTGAGATATCACTTAAACACATAAAAAAAAAAAGGCATATCAAAAACTAATCCTTTGATTTCACACTTAGCTATGTTAGCAGTTGTGTTGGTGCAGGTGTGGGAACAACTTAGGCCAAAGATTAAAAAAAAAACAAGAAACACCCAACCCATTTCCATGAGCCCATTTAAAGTGGTGTGTGACCGGTGATATCCTGTTTGCCACTTATGTACATATCCTTTATGTTTACATGTCTGACAGTTCTTTCAGACATTTTTTGCTAGTACAATTTCAAGAAAAATTATCAGGTGTATTGTATTTATTTATATTTATGTGTGTATAGATGTGCCATTTGTCTTTGCCTGTGTGCCTTCTAAATTGATGAGTCTTCCTATTGTATTTGTTGCTGCTGAATACATATAAAATATCAACTTCTGACTAATTAGCTTGTTAGCGTAATGATAAAAGATAGTATCGGCTAGTGCTATTTGTGATTGATAATGACATTTTGGAAAGTAACCTTGGCTGCATTATTAGATTATACTATTTAGGAGCTGCTATTATTGGTTATAAACTTAACATTTCTAAACCTACTTCTAGTTGATACAGTTCTTCCAAGTCACACTTGATGTAATTCTGAAAGTTATTTCAATGATACTGGTCTAATAATAAATTCAATATGATATATAGCATGTGTTAATTACGTTATTTCTGACTTTTTTTTTTTGCTACAAATGCCAATTAACTAGTGCTCTTGTATATTTCTGAGTAAATTGTGCAACAAAACCTGATGTTAAAGATGTATCTCTTGTGCCAATGGGAAGTGACCTAAGGTCAAGACTGGTCAATAGTTCTTTGGGATGCTTGGCTTTTACAAACTGTATGGGAACACAATGGTCTACATTTGTTGAATGCTTCATTTGACTTTTCAGTACAGCTCATCATTAAAGGGAAACTCTGACGGGTTTTATCTATTTGGAATTATTGACATATTTAAACGCTGTGTAAAAAGTTTTAATAGGAAACATTTTGTATTTAAATGCTTAGAAGACACCGGGTGGGAGGAGGCTTCAGACATTGCAGATCTTTGTGGAGACAGCTTGCCGCCCAATGCTCCGAACAGCGCGGGAGGACCTTAGTCTAAGTAAGACAGTAAATTCTTGAGATCTAAAAAAAAATATTTTTTGAGATTTTGGTTTAGACATACCAGTATGTCACTTCCCTCATCAATACTGAAAGCGAATCTAGATCTAACCAATTGTATCACCTCATTCTTACAGTGGTTGTTAGGCTTAGTGATGACCTAGTCCATAGCTATGGTGCAGTTATATATATAGATCTAAAAGTATTAGGGTAATAGAAAACAAAAAGTAAATTATCCCAAAAAGTAAATAGATTGCTTGTCTGATTCTAACAAACTGGCCAGTGTAAGGCTAGCCTAGGCCATGTGTAGTTGGTCATTGGGTCATGACAAGTCAACCAAGCAATAGTGCTTGTTTTCTGTTGAGTGGTCAGGTGAGAAAATAAATACTGGTACTGCCATGGTTAGTCAAGCAAGTAGATCTACTCTTAACAAATTTTTTTTTCTTTACTACAAGATCTAGATCTATTTCTTTTTCAAGATTGTAACTTTACTGTAATACATTAAGTCAATAGATTAAATGAATAGGTTTTGTGACATCACAGAAACCTGGTGAAAATGTGACTGTTTTGGATGCACAGAAAAACATCAATTACTGTTATTGAAAATAAAATAATAATATATTCATTTTCTGTAAATAAAAACACGTCATATAAAAAAATTGTCAAGAGTTTCCCGTTAAACTATTAAAAGTTGACTTTTTTTTTCGTCAAAGCTTTATTAAATAAGAAAGAAAAAAGATTTTGACTATTTTCCTGCTTCATTGATCAATGCTAACTGCTGCTCCATGTTCAACAAAGTATTCTCGTACCAATAGAGACTTTGGTGGTGTAGGAAGAAACACTTTGTTGTACCAGTACTTAAAGCTTGCTGGGTGGAGTCCAAAACATCAGCTTCCATTCTCTCCTACCTTTTAATTCAATATCAGCCAGCTCCTCATTTAAATGGACTTAAATTAACCATTGTAGTTAAGAATTAAAATTTGAACTTGACTTCACAAAATAAAAAATGAACTCTATGCATAAAAGTAGCTACAAATCCTAGAAATGACTAAAGCAAAACAATTTAATAGTGTCACCATATTTTTATGAGATAAAAAATTATGTCAAGACACTACACAAAGGGAGACTACAACATAGAAGTACAACTCAAGTGCCTAAAAACATGACAAAACTAAGACAAGCATGCATTTCATGAAATCAAAAACAAAATTATTTTGGAATGAGCCTGCATGACACAAGTCATATTTGATTGAAAGCTGCCAGTTGACCCTATACTTATACACCATATTGGATTATAAGCCCTGGAAGTGAACTGCCAACAGTTCTCCATACTGGTGAATGGTGGATTATTTTTCGCCTTTAATTGCTGGATTACAAAATTGAATACAAGTGAAATATTTGATATTTAAAACAAGAGTGCAGAAAACAAAATGTTCAGGTATTTTAATTTTTCTTTTTTTTTGTGCCCAATTTATCTGAAAGTCGAACCATATTAAGTTTTATGAACATGTATCTTTACACAATGTCCATAATGCATGTTTGTTTTCAACATGACAAATGATCAAAGCCTTAGCTTGGAGTTCATTAGTTGGTAAACAATGTCAATAAAAGAAAACATAAACTCAAGGTTTAGGCAGAGCTAAAAAAAAAAAAGTATTTGCTTGATAGTTATGTTAGAGGCAAGGTGAACCATTGTTACTAATATCTTAGTGTTAAAAATTAAATTTACTTCTAAGTGTGCTTTCTTGGAAGGTTGTTAACAGCTTTACCTTGTAAACAAGAATTTTTGTAAGTGTATTATAAAACTAAAATATGCAGATGATGTAAACTACTATGGAATGTTCAATATAATTAATTATCAAACTGATTTGTTTTCAATTGAAGTGAAACTATTAGCGCCATGTTGAGACTTAAAAAATTAAATGCTAAACTGTTCAGGGAAGCAATTCAAAAAAGATAACCACTACCATAACAAGTATTGGAATGAATTATTGATAGATAACATGGCTTAGTTACAAAACTTACTCTGTGATACTACAAATTTCTTAGAAACAACTCCAAAAATACCAGTATTTCATTACTTTAAAAAATCTCTACTGCTTAGAATTAAGATGTAAGCCCAAACTGTTCTTGTAATTCCAAAAGATGATGTGTTCAAGTTATGGTGCCACAGTATTAGATCAGAATGCTTTCTAGTCATGGAAATTACAAAACATAGCAGTACAAAAATATAGTATTTCAATACAATGACAATTTTTATTAAAAGAATTTTTAAAAACGGTGTTAAAATAGTAATATTATCATATTATATTATTTTTTAAAAAACAACAACGATACAGTACATTTAAAGATTAGAAAATGTTAAAATATTCCAAAAGTTTCTAAAACGACCCTGTTAAAAAATGTCTATATACCTCTGTTAGCAAGCCAGACCAATTAAAAAAGAAGCTCAGTCTTACAGACACCTATCAAGCATGCTAAGTGACAGTATGTACATTGGTCAAACTGTACAGCCATTTTGCTCCATAGTTCATTGTGACAACATAGTTGAGTTAAACACTTATTTAGAGAAACAACAAACAGGTCAGGCACTGATTCATTTCTAGGTCAAACTAAAGTAACTGACTTTTACAATACAATTTGAAACAAATTAAAACTATACTGAAAAAATATACTAATTAAGGTTATGCATTAATGATCTTGTCAACTCTTAATATGCAGTTATAATTATAACCTACAAAATAAATGCAAACTAACAAAATGACAGTCCAGTTTTTTTTTGCTGTTATAATAACTGATAGTGTGTTGACATGAATTGCAATGAAAATGGTTGAACAACAGCATGGGACTTGATACACTAACTCTATAAAACTAAATGTATGTGCTATTATTTCTTGTTTTGAGCTATGAAACAAACATGTGAAGTACACAGAAAACTTAAAGAGCTGGTTTACAGGTACAGTACAGATAGCCATCACAGTTCAATAAGTAGCTTGCTGGACTTACCAACTTAAAGACTAGTCTTAAAAATTAAAAAAAAAAAATATAATTTTGATTCTTAAGATAGACCTAGTGCTAGAGTATTGATCAAACTAATTTCATGATATACAATCTAATGCATTAATGACAAATCAGAAACACACTTAGAAAAAAAAAGCACAAAATCTAATCAATTTCTACAAAAGTTTCATTAAGACAAAACTCAGTCTACACTGGACATAGCATCAACTCCATCAATGAGCTATACAAAGTATTCAAATGCTATACAACATTCCCACAAGTACATCATCAAAAGTGTCAAAAAACAAAGAGATTTCAATCGTTTGACATGAAATTAATTCTATGACATCTATCCGTCCAATGATATGAAATGATTCAAATATTGCACATCTGCTTCAACAATCAGGTGGCGCTGCAGCAACACAGTTTTTGTTTCCCTTAACTTTCCATAACATAATAACAAAGTGAACAGACTTGATTGCTGGGATTTTTCTAATGTGGAAATGGTTGAAAGAAAGCAGATCATGAGATTTTCTTATGTACACAAATATTTGGTCAACTTTTTTTTTGTTAAATTGATTCATTTTTCATTGTATCATGAAAAGGAAATAATTTTGTATTTTTATTTCAGCTGCCAACAAAAAACTGTCCTAAAGGTTTGAAGTGATGTACTTGAGGCCATTGCAAGAAGACTTCTATTCCAAATGTCAATTCCTCCTGACTTAGTTCTTTGTGGTGAGAGATGAGGAGAGACAATGATCAGATCAAAGCCTGCTATTATCTAGGGCGCTGGGGGTGGACTGGAAGAGAGAACTCTGCAAACAGTGGGAAGTGGTCTGAGGGAACAAAGGGATGGGGACAGCCTATGATCTTATTTGCTCTGAACCATTCTTCATCTTGCAATCCCATAACTCCATGCAGTCGCAGGTGCTGGTCAGAGTAGAAAATGTAATCTATAACTCCTTTGAAGTCAAACCTGAAAATAAAGAATGTATTCTCTTGAACAAACCAATAGAGCAAATCATGAGCAAGCTACAAGATATATCAAACTAACAACAAAAGAGACCTCACTTCTAAAGTAAATTCTGGAGAGCTACAGTTTATTTTTTTTAATGTTAACTGAAGTGTCTAGAAGAGGCGGAGAGTTTAAGAGTACTTGGCTGTTGAGTCTTGAGCACATATTGAAAATTTGTATTTCAGTGACATTCCTGACTACAACCAGATCTACTTGGTGGAATGTAGTCATTGTCCTGGTCATATAAAAATATTGGAAAAGGTCCAATAGTGAATCAGAGCACTATGCATCCAGACATGCCTACCCCCAAGACCCAGAATGTGGAACACTCAGGTTGAAAATGTGGAATTTTGGGCCCCAATGTGGAACATAAACGCGTTTATGTTTGTCAGCCATACTGTACGTAATATAAATAAAACTTCAATTATATTACTTTAATAACAATACTAGTTCACTTCTTATAAATTAGATGTTAAAAGTAAGAAAACCTTTAATTCATAATATGTCCTTTGAAATCAATAGTTCTAAAA